AATAAACAAATTTAGCACATTAAAAAAAGACACCGCGAGAAAATAATTGCACTGGTCGCAACCATTTCTCATGATTTTGAAGGGATCCCTAATACGTGCATGGTGTGGAGACGCGACATTAAGATGTATCTCTTGTGAGATGACACACCAAGCTGCCATGGTAACTGGCTTAGGGGTAATACTGATTATGTATGAAATAGGTACATAATTTAAGGGAGAGGCAGAGAGGCTTCCGTGGAGCTATACACATGTACATTACTTCGCTGAAATCCTCCAAAGGCCGATTGTTATCACACATACGCCCCCTCGTTCGTCCCTGTCAGCCCAACTTTTCCACAAAAAACTCTGGTATGTTTCAGGTAACTGCCCTGTATGTTCGCGGGGAGACAGTTAAGTTTATAAAATATTGCCACAACGAAGAAACATAATTTTATCATGCTAATATAGGATAGAAGAAGCGGTTTCATGGCGTGTTTACGGTCATTCAATTTAGACGGTGAGATGAATATACAGTTAGATTTTCTACTCAGGATATTGCGCATTTTGAGCCAGGAATGGTTTTGATCGTCACTTTCTATTATAGGAGGGACTCTTCTAATTAGCATTCTTCTCTCATTTGTTTTGCTTCTTTGCGGCTTGTTTCATGATTGATGGATTTGTACCGTGATGCACTGGTCTCTTACATGAACGTTTTTGGATAGCATTTTGGCATTTCCTTCGGCTTCCTTGCAGTGTTACGTCACCGGGATGAAAACGCGAAAGTGTGCGATACTGATGTTGCTGTGACGTCATGATGTTTATCTGTTGTGCCGTAGGTATTAAAATGTCAATAAATGTGATTGTTGTTGTCAACATTTTATTAATTTTATCATATCAGATCTTTTCGTGCTCGGTCTGTGTTTTTCCAAATCATTCGATTTATTTATTTACTTACACATTTAATGATAACCCATTTACATCAAAGAAATGTTAATATTTACATAAAACTCTGAAAGAAGTCTACAGTGGGGATTGGATGGTGTATCTTATAAAGTTTACTTTGTTTCGTTTTCAAGTCTTGCATGTAATTTGTTTTCACCGTACTAGCTTATATGCTTCTACTTGTATATCAATAACTTCGTGACTAATCAATCCTAGACACAGACTGGTACCCGACATTGGTTGCAGTAAAGCTCCATAACCTCGTTCGTATAGTTTTTACAATACACCATTACATCATCATGAAATGAACAAATCCAAAAGAGGTCTGCCCAAGGTACATACCAAGTATCAAAGCAATAAGAATTGTAGTTTTCAAGAAGTTGAATAAATAAAAAGTTGTCACGAACGACGACGGACAATCACTCGTATAAGCTTCGCTTGACAAAGTCAACAGTAGAGCTAAACATTGTTTTACAAATGAAATGGTAATTAACTTTTTGATATCTGAACAGGCAAATCTGCAAAAAATGTTGCTGAGATGGAGGTTAAGACGAGTTGTCTTTATTCACAGGTTTGACTAACTGGCCAAGGCAGGTGTGGATGTAAAAATGTAAGTTGATTCTTTTTTTAGACTGGAATGTACAAAATTTTAGAATAT